ACTATTACGCCTACGGGCTACATTGCATCGAGTTCGAATCATTCACTCGATTGCCAAGCCTACGGGCTACTTTTATTTCGAGTTCGAGCAATCACTCACTCGATCATTAAGCCTACGGGCTATTTTAACTATTACGCCTACGGGCTACATTGCATCGAGTTCGAATCATTCGCTCGATAGCCAAGCCTACGGGCCACCTTTATTTCGAGTTCGAGCAATCACTCACTCGACAATTAAGCCTAAGGGCTACTTTAACTATTACACCTACGGGCTACATTGCATCGAGTTCGAATCATTCGCTCGATTGCCAAGCCTACGGGCTACCTTTATTTCGAGTTCGAGCAATCACTCACTCGACCATTAAGCCTACGGGCTACTTTAACTATTATATCTGCGGGCTACATTGCATCAAGTTTGAATCATTCACTCGACTGCTAAGCCTACGGGCTACCTTTATTTTGAGTTCGAGCCATCACTCGCTCGACTATTACGCCTACGGGTTACATTATTTCGAGCAAAACTGCTCATTTCTTCGAATTAAAACAAACACTTGACTATTTAAGCTGAAGGACGCTCGAGCCCGATAAAGCAAAGGGGACTACCCACGAGGCCCGAAGGCAACAGAGATTTAAATTCAAACTATCTATTTAGTTTGAAAGGCCATTTTTCTTCAAAAAAGAAGAAGAAAGATTTGTATTTACAAAATGTTTTTGTACAGAATCGGCGAAAACGCCATCAGAAGTTATCCGATTCAAAGCATGTTGGGCCTCGTTAAAAAGACAGGAAGCCCCTCCGCATTCATCACTGATTGATCTTCTCCGGTCACCAAAGACCGAAGGTAACTGGCAATTCCCATCGGGGAAGAAAGAATTCGGGTATCCTCGATAAAGTCGGGGATTATAGAGACACATAAGATGATCGAGCATTACATATGTCATGGTCGGGATCGATAAAAACATCAGTGTATATCTGATCGAGCTGCTGGAAAATCATATCGCTTCTCGCCACATCCTTTTCCGAGAAACGAGGGGACTATCTGTATACGGTCGAAATAGATTTCGGCCTTCCTACGTTCGATCGAGTTCGAGTGTTAAGAAGTCGGAATGAGATTTTGGGAGTGAGCTCTGAGGTCGGTNTTGGCGGGAATCAAGGAAGAGACAAGTCATCATGGGTCTTCCACTACATGTTTTATTTTATTATTTTTTGGTAATGACTCTCTTCTATAAAACGGGAAATCCTTGTAAGCTAGGGGAAGAAAAAGAAAAACTTAAAAAAAAAGATCACTTCCTCTAGATATTGATAGTAATCCCCTTGTGCTTGTTTTACTTATTCATTCTTTTTGCTTATTATTTTCGTTCTTATAGTCAACAATACACATATTTTTATTTCTCTACGCGATTTATATCAAATTGTATCGCATATCCTTAGAACCATCCACAAATGTAATGTTATCCGATTTTTCCGGTAAATAACTATAAAAGTGACACCTCTCTCTATATCCAACTAAGAAGGTCTTTGAGGAGAGAATCAAAATGTTCTGCGTAATGCTTTTCTACTCAATCAGGACGCTACATCTTTTGGGTTCCAAAATCTTATTTATCCTTTAGAAAAGACAAAAAAAAATTAAAAAAAATCAATTATCCTACCATACTATACACCTACCAAAGGAATAGCACAATTTCGTACCTTTTCCAGAAAAAAAGAAAAAAAAGTGGCCCCTAAGGACATAATTGAAAAACCAACCATATAGAATCCTCAATCTTAATTTTAAAAGACATTAATATTTTGTCTATATCTTTAACGTCCATTTCATCATAATTTACAAGGTCTACATTTTGTTTCACCTAAACACATT